GCTCCTCCTGCCTGCTGCGGCCGGGGTGCTGAGGGGGAAGGCAGGCGTGCCATGGGCTTTATTGAGTTATCAGGGAAGCTGCAGGGTGTCTGCAGAACACTTTGGTCGTGCTTTTGGGTTATGTGAGAGGGGGTGCACAGCAGCAGAAACCTTTTTCCCTCCCTCCTCCCAGTCCACATCACAGATGCCACTAGCTGGATGAAGGCAATTTTAATTAAATAGTTGAGCTCTGATCCAACAAAACCCTATAATCGTGTGCTTTAATGCTGACTATATCTTTAAGTGCTGTGCTCAGCTAGGATGTTAAGGGTTTGAACCTATAGCCCTGATGTGAGTGATCCTATGTTCTCTGTGTGTGTTTCTATAAGTAATATAATTTATATACATGGAAAAGCAAACTTAATCATCTGATAACACAAGTAAAGTGTTTGTCTTTCACTGTTGGAGGCATTTAAGAATACAAATGCTTTGAATAGCCTTCCTGCCTTTGAATAGTCATGTTTTGTTAATGCAAACTTAATGAGCTGGGAAAAAAAAATGGAAAGGAGGGTCTGGGGTTAGAGCTGAAAAGTCATTTTTTTCTCTGAACCCACACTTGGCTGATTGTCTTGGGCTATAGCCATGATCCCTGCTGAATAAACCATTTGTTTGCTTCCGGAAAAGTAAAAAAAGACCCTTGACATTCTTTACACAGCAGAAACAAGCTTGGGAGCAGATGGTCACTTACCTTTTTTTTTTTTTCCTTCCCTAAATGTCATTATGGTCAAAGTGCATACTATTCAAATATATTATTGTGTATTTTCTGTATTTTAAATGCTAGCCCTGATGTAATTTCCTGAAGTCAGTTGCTTTGTACTGAGGAGGAACTGGCCCCTGCGTGTGTAGCTAGAATTGCAGTGCAGGGACACAAAATGATCAATCCCCAGCCTGTGCTGACCATCCCAGAGAGCATCTTCTCTTCCCTGCTACCGAACGGTCACCGTTGAGAAGCTAAGGGTGATAAATGAAGTGCTCCCCATGGCTCTGGGGCTGAGTCTGTTTGTCCCCTTGTTTGCACGACGGGTAATGGGTTGCTGCCAGAGAGGGATGTTGAGGAGGAGGATGCAGAAGCAGCATCCAGCATTATGTTTGTCACCACTCATGTCTTCCAAAGGGCAGCTTGGTGGGCTCTGCATTGCAGATGCTCATCCCTCTGCATTTGCTCGCTGTCCATCCTTAGGCACTAGCACATGCAGTTTCACAAGGTGTATAAACAGAACTCATCCTTTAATTGTAACTTGTTAATACTTCAAAGTAAAAACTGCATTAGTTTGGCTTAGCCTCTTCTCTAAGAAATACTAAACGCAAACCACTTCTAATAATGTTTTACAAAGCAATACACTGCTCCTGCTTCTAGACTTCTTCCAAAATTATTATTTCGACAAGAAGGGAAATGATGAATGTGCTGTTTCAGGGAGGAAAAGAACAAAAATGAAATACTTTTCTCAAGTGCTAACAGTATGTGTATTGGAGAACAAAAACTGTATGCTGAAGTTGCAACATTAAACCAACAAAGAACAGCAACTTCTCCAAGAAACTTGTATGAGTCCCACTGTTCTTGCGAATAAGGCTGATGCAATTATGGCTGGAGCCTCTGGCCAGCAAAATCCGTGGTGGGCCCAGCATGGAGCACTCTTGTGCCACCAGGAAGGGGCACAGGGCAGCTCACTGCAGCTCCTCTGGGATCATCCTTGCTGCCTTGGGCTATGGAGCACCTTTATCTAGATGGGACTTACCCATGGCTTTGTGTCTTCAGCAGCGTATGGTTGGAGTTGGTTATTCTGAGACAAGAAGGGGTTTTTTTGTTTGTTTGCTTTTTCCCCCCGAATTCAGAGCCTTACCACTACACATATTTGCAATGACTGATAGCAAACGTGCAGGCTAACTGACAAGACTGTAAAGATAAGCTCACCACAGCATGTCTGAGGTGCACAGACCAGATGTGATATCTGTTAATAGTTTTGTAAAGAAGAAAAGCCCAGAAGTTTCATGTAAAACATGTCAAGAAATTATTGGGCCAGCTCTTACAGGGAAATTTTTCAGTACTAGGCACTTACAAATCATCTCCTGCAGGCTTCTTATTCATGGAGCTGAAACATGCTTAAAAGTGTAGAAGGGCAGGCAAGAGTGCTGAGTGGACACTCGGGTGACTGGCAGTAGAGGAAGCAGTGTCCCCTCCCTGCCTGTGGCTTTGCCTCCCATCACAGGACATGAGCAGTGTGGAGCACACACCACGAGGGCATCAATTCATTGTCTCTCCAGCACAACCAAAAAGCAACAGGAAAACACGTAAACAAAAAAATACTTTAATAAATATTCCAGCATGGCATTAGATTTCAGAACAACAATGGCACGTATTTTCCCAAAAATTGGTAAGATGCACTGGGTTTGTGAATCTGCATAGGTGAACATATGGGATGTGAGTGGGGTCTGAGGCTGTCCTCCTTGAGGGACAGGAGCAGCGTAGGTGGGTGATGAAGCTTGTCAGAGTTTGGTGGAGTAGAGGGTAGAGAGTTCTGACATTTGCAGATGAAAAAGCAGGTATCAGTGGGATGGATCTGTGTTTTCCCAGGAATACTGAGATTTATGGGATGAAAGAGAGATTTCCCTCCTCCTTTGAAAAGACTTCAAGGGAGTGGTTTTTCATTACTAAAGGTAATGTTGGCAGACATCTCCATACTGAGTGGAGAGGTCTATTTAGGCACACTTTGTGGGAATAGTATTTGAACTTCTTAGGAACCCTGACCTGATGAAAAAATCTTTTGTTAGATGTTTGTGGAATGCACAAATGTACTTACCTTCTGTAAGATTTGCTCTATACCCTGTGCCTGTTAGGAGATACAAAGTTTGCATGTGGCTAAAAGAATGTGCACAAAGAAGATGTCTAGGTATATAGGTGTCATGTACTGAAAATACATCTTGCAGAAACACACTAAAGGTGAATATAAGGTCTGTTGCATTTGCCAGAAAGTTTAGGAAAAGCTCTCCTGCCTTTCTAGTCATAAGGACGTCCCTTTATATGCACTGTTCAGAAGGCTCCACAAGAAGGGGTTTGTTGAAAAGAAATTCTAACAGCAGAAAAATATTTTGTTGCCTTGTAACTGGATGTGCTTGTATTGAAAAAGGCTGGGCAGGGTGCTGAAGGCTTTACATAATTTTATATATTTTTTTTCTTTTTTTCTCAGTATGTGCTGACAGCGAGAATGAACTAGAGGCAGACCAGCAGATGGACAACTTGTACCTGAAAGCTTTGGAGGGATTTATTGCCGTGGTGACACAGGATGGAGACATGATCTTTTTGTCAGAGAATGTCAACAAATACATGGGTCTTACCCAGGTAACTTGTTCCCTAACACTTTCCTGTCTTTGTAATACAATTCCCAGAAACGGGTCCTATGCCTAAATGCAGAAAAAACAGCTGAGTGTCACGGCAAAAAAGACTGGAAATAAAATGTCTTATTTCTCAGGCAGGTATCCTGCACACCAAAGAGCAGTGGGGATTTTTCCCTCTCCCTTTCTATCAAAGTTGTGGTCTTTTTGGTGACTGCAAACTTGCCTTCCTAGATATTACCGTGGAGAGAAGGGACATTTATTCAACTTGTGCCTTAGACGTGTGGGACCGCGGGGATAGAGCTCCTCTTTTGGGTCCCTCCTTTTCTGCTTTGTGGATTGGGGGTTTTGTCCTTCTGTGTTGAAAATAACCAGTGGTGTTGACTGTTAACTACGCCCTGCAAATCCAAAGATAGGGAATTGATCTGGGAAGAAAATCAGAAGTTATGCACAGGATAAACAAAGGGAGGGTCACAGGGTTTGTGTCTGTGAGCATCCTGTCAAAGCACGTAGTTCTAGTGACCAGTTTCATCTGAATAGGTGGTGTTTAAAAACAGATAAATACAAGTAGTTACTTTTATTTGACTAAATATAGTTCTTACATCTGCACAGGTGGAATTAACTGGACACAGCATTTTTGACTTCACTCATCCATGTGACCATGAAGAAATTCGAGAGAATCTGAGCCTGAAAAACGGTAATAATGAAAACAGAAAAAAAAGTCACTGTTTGCTTTTTAAATAACCAAATTAAGTAATTGGCTCACAGTAGATATCTGTTAGTCATGGAAAAGGGAATTTTCATTCCTAGAGTAATCATTAACTGTTATTCAATACCTTGCAGCTCTGTTTTGTTTTGCCAGATATTGCTTAAATATGATAGCACTAAGAACTGTTTGTTTAGTGTGTTCCTTTCATCGAGTTAAGACAGGCGTAATGTTCTCACTTGTAACACTTTGCAAAGACTTATGTACTGCAAGCTAAAACATAGAATTAAATGCACAAAGTCCCATTTAAGTTCCACTTAAAGTTTTAGGTGTGAGCTCTACAAACCGCTCTTCAATGGTCCATGCATCTTTGATGGTCTCTGCAGGTAAATTATCTGAGAATTAGTTTGTTATTTCTATCAAATCCTTCATGCTTATAAATAGAAGAAATCAAGAAGCAAAACTGAGAAAACTCATTTGCCATTCTCCTTATACAGGTCCAGGCTTTGGAAAGAAAAACAAAGAGATGTCAACTGAGCGTGACTTCTTCATGAGGATGAAATGCACTGTTACCAACAGAGGCAGAACTGTTAACCTCAAGTCTGCCACATGGAAGGTACCAAATTTTAGTCATAATAGGTGATTTTTTATGTCAAAAGACGTTCTGGCATGTACAGAAAGTACATTCTAAGTTTGTTTCTCATTCAAAAATGCTTATTTCAGGTTTTGCACTGCACTGGACAAGTTAAAGTGTATAACACTTGCCCTCCTCACAGTCTGTGTGGATATAAAGAGCCCCTTCTCACCTGCCTTATAATAATGTGTGAACCTATTCAGCATCCTTCAAACATCGATATCCCCCTGGACAGCAAGACCTTCCTGAGTCGCCATAGCATGGACATGAAATTTACCTACTGTGATGACAGGTAAACTCCACTGATTTTTAACTTTCCATCTTCTTGAACAAAACAAGCAGTCCTTCCAGTTGTCCTCCTTCACGGACCTGGTAAGCAAGGACTAGAAGAAAGCACGGTCTGTTACCAAGACAGGTATTCAGTGGCTCATTTAATCCATTTCAAATCTTAATTTAGGCAAAATGGTACTCCTGCTGTATTTCCTCCTCCTGCTCAGTGAGTAATTCAAGTTCACTGGCAGAAGATGAGGCAACTTAGAGCCATAAGCGTAAGCTTCTTGAGTTTTAGCAAACTGAAGAGCACACAGGCTTTCTGTTCTCATTTTTTAGAGAACATCTCAAACAACATGCCCTACGGACCCTAGTCAAGGACTGTCTTATGGTTGGTTTGGCCCAGGATGCTATTATCAGTTAGCTGGAAAGTACTTTATGCTCTAGATTAACTAAGAATTGCTAAGGCATCCAGAGCATCTGCAACGCTGAAATGGGGTTGCAGCCTCTTGCTCAATTAAAAGCAAACAATCTTTGCTGGTTATCTATCTGCTCCTTTCAGTGGCGAAATGAAGGGGAGGGCAAGATCTTGGTTCAAGCAAAGGGCTGTGTCCTCCACTCCCCACATTTCCCTCGGGTGGAAAAATGGAGATCCCCGTTGTCTCTGCCTGGCTGATTTCCCCAAGGATCTCTATGGCATTTCATAATTTCATACCACCTACTTCTTCTCCCTGTCTACATATTGTAGTAACCATCTTCCCTGTGTGTGAGTGAGCCAGAGATCCCTTCCCATGAAGTGGCCTCCTGTTCCATGTTTCCCCAGAAACTCATCTGTACTAGTGTGGGTTTGAGGTTTCTTGAAGTTTGTGAGATCACCTCTGCATTTATTATGAATTTTTCTGTCGAATGAAACTGGTCTCCTGAAATTCATAAGTGCTAGCAGCTGCTGAGGCCTGTAGGGTTATCAGTGGGATTATATGTGTGCTCGCATCTTGGGAGCGAGGATTCCTGTGAGGAAACTCACAGGATTGAGATCTTGGTTATTTTTTTCATCCTTCAAAGGTTTTTTAAAACTTGTGCTAAGCAAGATCATTATTTTAAACAATGTGATAAAGCAACCATATAAACCAGCAGTGTTAGCAACTGTGGGAGAAAGCATGATTACAAGTGTGAAACTTGTGACTGACCTTCTTCTGACCTCTCTGAGAATTTAGCAGCAAGTGTACTGTAACTAGAAAAGTACTCTGATGTAACCGCAATAAAACAGACTTCTTCTTTTTTTTTCCTCTTATTAATACTTTTGGGATGAAAATATCGGTATATCAATAGTATTTTGCTGCTGGGGGTGGGGGAAGCAACAGTATGGTAGTGACTCATTATTAAAAGCAACTTACCTCTGAATTACTGGGGCTGTTCCATGGCAGGCTAGAGGAGAGTAGCAGAGCATTCACGTGTCTCTGCCAGATTTAATGCAGAAGCAATTATAAATGAGAATTAGAGGGATTGATACTATCCCATTAAAGATACACGTACTTATTTTTTAAAGAATGACATATAATGCCCTGTCTTAAATAGTAGGTGTTGATTTATAGAGAAAATTTTCACATGGCAGTGAAATACAACAGCTTCCTCTGGAGGATTTAACTTGTAGGGAGTTTCAAAGATTTTTCTTTAAAACCAGGCAACAAAACAGCACGTCTTTTACTGGATAGATTTGGTTGGGTATTTCATTATGTTTTATGGAGATTATGATAAAGCTGTAAAAAGCTGGCCAGGCCAGAGAAGGAAGAGACCTCAGACCTTTCAGGTGCTTCGCAGCAGATCCTGCTGGCTCTCACTTCCCTCCCAGAGGGATGTTGATTTCTCTCCAACGGGCGACACATCACTAGACACATAAAAATGCAAAGCACTCAGCTGTTCTTATCAAATTTGGTGCTGCTAGACAAATTGTATTGAAGGAGCAGCTTATGCCAGGAATGTAAATCCAGGCTGAGGAGCAGGGGGGGGAAAAGCAGCATGTGCCAGTCAGATGCCTAAACCCTTTTCAACCTGCTCTGGCCTTTCTGCAGGGAAGCAGCAGGGCTGACACAGCTCGTTTCTCCCCGAGAGACTGTGTATTTCCAGTTCAGGGCTGATATCTTGGAGGGCAGCAAGCCTCCTCTAGCAGGCTTCTGCAGCGATCTCAGTGTCCCCTGTGCAGTTTATCTGGTGTGGGCAGGTCTGCCTCCGGGGAGCATAAAGTTCTTAATTTTGAAATATTCAATTAAAGAAATGAGGATTTCTAAGGAAGTGCCTTAATGAATGGCAGCTGTGCTGGACCTTACTAATGGAAGCATCTACCTCCAGTGTGAAGCTTAAGTGGGTACGTGAAGCTGAAATTTATCCTTGTGGAAAATGAGGATCACATCTGTCATCTCCGTAAGAAAGCTCATACTTTCCTCTGTCACAAAGCAAGATGCAAAATATAGGCTGGCCACCTTTCAACACTTTGTTGGCTGAGATAAAGTGCCTTGATTCTTTTGGCTTTTCCTCGGGAGACTACAGGACAGATGTGATATGAAGCAGGCAAGACTGGCCGTCCCTCATTTAAAATGTGAGACAATAGCCCGTATATTTTGTTTTCCAAAAATAATTTATATATGTGGGCCTATGACGTGCCAGCGGTTAGGTGGCATGTGTTTGTGTTCTTGAAACAGCTTTTGCAAGGTGATGAGCCCATAAAGAAAGGTTTGTGAGATGTAAATAATAAAAACAGGTTGTTCTGCTGAATGCCTGCTTCAGCCATTCCTGGAGAGCGATTTAAAAATGTTCCCTTGCTCCACTTATCTTGGCTAAGTGGTTTACAGGAAGGATTATTTTAGCTGTAATACGGAAATGCTGATCAGTGGTACAATTCAAAAATCCAAGTGAGGATTAGTTCAGCTGCACAGTGCTTTTGTGTCGGGGAGAATTGCCAGTGAGGGTGTTTTAGCCAGAAAAAAAGGCAAGTCTTTGTATGAAGGCAATTTTGTTACCTTGGTGGCATAGCTGATGCTCAGCGTATCTTCCCGTGCAGGGCTGCAGGGGTGATGGGTAGATAGAAATAACGGCTCTATGTTCCTGTGGGGGAAAAATTCACAAAACAAAAGTGAAAACTCTATCTGAGTTTGATAGAAAACCCTGAAACTACTTCAGGTGCCCCAGCACATGCAGCCTCTGCCTTCACGGTTTATGCATCGCAAAGGAAAAACATACGCTGTGTTTTGGAGGGGAGCAGGGTTTTGAAAGCAGGGAGGGTAACGTGGCATCATGGGTGGCGTTGGCTTTTCAGCTTCATCCCTGCAACCTCTCTGGGGTGCTGGGAAGGGGATGGGTAAGTGCTCTTTGCCCGAAATTGCTGTGGGCAGCGCGTGTGCGGGGAGAGAAGGGTAAGGAAACAGATCTCTTCTGCACGGGGCGATATGTGCAGGCAGCGACTCTGAGGGCTGCGTCACAAACCAGCTCCCTGGCAGCAGCACACGCTGCGAAGCGTATGGTCTCCATTACTCTGAAGGCATGGCGTGCTTTGGGGAATTGTGTTCCCAGTTACAAGAAACCCAATTAGCTATAGCCTTTTTTGCCTTTTCTTGATTGGAACAGTCTAATGGAAGAGCTGAAAAAGAAAAAGGAGCAGTGGAGGATGTGTGGTGATTCGGAATAGGATGGTGTAGGAAGATGCAATGCCAATAGTGTTGGTCCCGGTTGGGTTTCTCCTAATATGAGTGCACATGTGGGATGCGGGCTGTGGCCGACAGAGAGGAAATTGAGTTATATTGGACCTCCAGTTATGTCCCTGTGAAACAGAAGCATGTAGGCACCGGACCTGATATGAGAGTTTAAGTCAGTTTGCCATTTGACCAGTATTAGGGGAAATTAGGTGAGAATGCAAATAAGCATTTGAAAGGACCTCCTGTCCCTCCATCCCTGTGCAGGGGGAAAATGCATATTTCTAAATTAGGTGAGAATGCAAATAAGCATTTGAAAGGACCTCCTGTCCCTCCATCCCTGTGCAGGGGGAAAATGCAGCATGGAGACAACAGTGATGATATCTGAAGCCAAAGATCCAAATTTGGCAAAACTGGCTTTTGCTATATGCCATATTTGGGAAAAAACATAACCAACTTCTTTTGTTAATAACGAAACTTTGACTTAGACTGAACAAGTAGGAGAGACGGAGTCCTGGTGCAGTTCTCAATGTACCCATCTAGGGTTTTTGCCTAGCAGGGCAGATACACCTGACGGGGCCAGCTGCCCCTCTCAGGAGTGGACAGAGGTCCCAAGATTTTGCATTTAGTTTTCTTCTTTGGGCTGGGTCAGAGTGGAAGAAGCCATAAATGTTTTCAAGAGGAAATGTGGGTACTTGTCAGGACTGCCGTGCTGCCCTGCTGCCTGCTCTACAGCAGGCTGGCAGAATGCTCTAACACCAGGCACACGAGCTGTGTTGGGATTCATTTTTTCTCTTTTTTTTTTAACTCATTCTGCTTTAAGTATAACTTTGTTTGTTTGTGTGTTCCTGTCAAGACCAATTTAACTTCAATAACTTGGTAACAGTTTGAATACAGAAAGATTTTATTAAGAGATCCACACCCTCACACACACAGTCCACACACAGCCCGACGAACATACACCCAGCTCTTTTTTTATGAGCAGTAAACATTACAGCAGTCTTTCACAAAGAACCTGACTTCTCCATCTAGACGGTTCTTACGATACTATTTTAACTCAAGAAACGGTATACAATAAAAAGCTTTGTGCTCCTATAAAGAGACAGAAAAGCACAATTTTAAGAAAAACCAAACCACTTGAAATAGCTCATCTCTTAGGACACGTAGCCTTTGAAGCAGTGAGCTTTGTTTGCTTTGCCGTTTCTCAAAGAGATAAAGTAGGGCAAAGTTGTACAAATCTAGTAATACAGGATTCGTATCACTTGTTTCTCCATTGTGTACCCTAAGCACGAAACTTTACCTTTACTCCACATCCCAAGAAATGGGTATATTAAGAGAAACTGAAGTAGCTTTAGTTGGGACAGATTGGCTTCCACAAAGGGCTACTGCCCACCTCTTGAATGTGTTTTCTGAGATTTTGACCTCAGTACATCACGGTGACAAGTTTAGCACAGAAAACTGAAGGGCCAGTCTGGCAAAATTAAGATTCCCCCAAAGGTATTTGTGTTTTCAGAAACAAGTGGTTAACAGGAGAATAAACAGCCTCTCAGCCCACCTGTCGTCTTCAACAAAAATTATTATTATCCTTCTAATTGGCACCGGTTTACCTTTTACAAATGCAAAGGAAACACAAAGCCTACCGTGGCAGGAATGCCATCCAAAACCACCATACAGTTTGTTTTCCAAATTTGTCAATCCACAGCTTGCACAAAGGGCAATTTTCTGTCTGGTGTCTAAGCAAAAGTAGATGTCTTGTGTTCTGGACTCAGGTTTGTAAATGACTCTTTGGTCCCACGGGGCATATACATTTCTGTGACTCTCTTAGTTATGCACTACTCCTCCTCATAACTCTGTAGGGTGCTTTTTCCTTTGCACTTAGTCCTCTGTGTATTCGTCTGGCATTTCGTGTTGCTCAGAGGCTCCGGTGTAAAGCCCACGCGGAGTTTGGAGGGTGCGTCTCACTGGAGAGAGGTGCCTCGGAGCGATGCTCAGGTGAGGTCCGTGCAGAGACCTTTGCTGAAGCACTCGCTGCTTCCCGACCCAGGAGCTGCTCAGGCTCTCAGCTGTGGCCAGTTCTCCTTCACCAACATCTCAGGAGAGTCACAGGAGGGGGGAGATGGGGATGGGGAGAGCTGCCCGCCTCGGCTGTGGTGTGTAATGTGGCGTGGAATTGGCTAATCTGATTTCCAGCCCTGCACTGCCTGCAGCCCCTGAGCTTTTTTTTAAGCTTTTCAGAGTCAGCAGCACCAGAGGAGGAATAAAGGAAGGTGTGATGGTCCAATTCATGCACCCAAAGACAATACTGCTAACAATTCTTGGAGAGAGGGTGTTTGTAATAAAATAGTGGTGTTTAAAAATGTATCTAGGAAACATTGCCAGCCAGTTCTAGGGTTTTGGGGGGAAGGAAGAAAGAAACATAACTTATTTTTATCTTTCTGTACGCTTAGTTGGTTGTAATAAAATGATATCAACTCACCACTTGCTAACTTTTATCCAAGATTACATTAGATCTAATTATATTTGGTGTTGTCATGGCAGGATTGCACCACAAGTCATTCTGTGCCATGGAATGACAAGAAGAGTAATTTATAGTGGGGGCGATCGTTATGAACAGTGGGGAGTGATTTGAGAGGGGAATTGCAGGATTGGAATAAACAATTTGGCATAGGGATTGCAATTCTTGTATGATCAGAGTTAAGAGTCCCTCAGCCTGCTGTAACGCGTGTTCTTTGCTTGCTGTCTCAGTTCCACCATTGACACCCGTGAAGGCCATAATGTGGTTTTGGATTTGCATTGGTGCTGCTGTGTACATGATGCTGCTTTTTTTTTTTTCCCCGTTATCTTTATTTCCTTTTCCTTCTCCCTGCTCAACCCCCCTCCACTTGGCTCTCAGCTCCCAATGACTGGATTAAGACTAAATCCTCGACTTCCTGAATTTTAAAAGCCTTTCCCTTGTGACGAGCTCCAAACTAACCATCCTGGCCATGATACTATGCCATTATATAATCAAAGGCCATAGTTTCTGTTTTTAAAGACTGTATATTTGCACTGGTCCTGGCAAGAGCCTCTGGCCACTCACACCAGCGTGTCCCAGCTGACTGCGTAAAGGCAAGCAGCAACTGTGTTTTGGGAGCCTTGGGGGTCCTTCTATATTTGTTATTTTCTCCTGATGGTTCAGCTGCGGTGACCAATTCATTATGAGAACTTCTGCTTTTGTTAAAAAAGAAAAAGCAATTGTGGTTTCAGAGAAAAGTTACAGATTTGACTGGGGTGCAACTGAAAAGCTCTGAAGCTTGTTAGTGAAGAGAGTCAAAAGAGCAACTCTTTTTGAAACCTGGCTCAGTAATTTCCCCTTTGTCAGTTTTATTGTAAACGTAAATAAAACTGCAAACATAAATAGGAGACTAAGTCTTTGGGGGTCCCAATAAAACCAACTAAATTCTTTCCTCAAGTAAACCATGATAAATGCAGGTTCATTCCATGGAAATCAGGACAGAGAGTAGTTTTCAGAGTGACAAACCCAAGGTGTCCCCGGGGTATTAGCTATACAGTTCTGTGGAGGCGAGGGAAAAGCTGACTCAATGCCTTGGCGTTCAAACCATACACAAAATAGCTCCATCTTCTGTGTCTTCCTTGCTGGAGGGGGATGTGGGAGATGAATGCCATGCTCCTGCTCTGTTTGTTTTACAGTATTTACATGTCTGTCTTGTAAAGACATGCTCGTGTCTGGAGGGCTGGGCCAAGGCTGTCCTTCCAAGGAGTACACAAACCTGAGGATGTGTCTCTTAAAAGCGGCAATGCCAGGCATCAGGTGTGGTGGTGGCTGATAAAGCCTTTCCAAGTTACATGGCATAAAACTTGGGCACTGCCACCGATGGCAGGACGTGCTGCCAGACGCCACCATGCCTTTTGCAAACCCTCCCGGTTCTTCTAGGTTTAGGACAGCTCAGTGGTCGCTTTGTAGTCATTTTCCATAGTGCTCTCTGCAACGTTACAGGCTGTTACTGCAGTTTGAAAGCTAGGAAAAGGCATCTAAGAGTGTTATGGCTGACTTGGAAAACAGCAATGTTTCCTTCTTTCCCCAGAAGACATGATATCTTTGATTTTGAATGTATATAGAGGATTTTTTTTTTCTTGTTTTTACTAACCGTGTTTCCTGTAAAGCTGTGTGTGATGGTATTTCAAATTGAATTTGGGAAAAAAGAACCCTTTTCCTCCACCCACTCAGAGAAAATCATCTGCACAGTTCGGTGACCTATTTTCATTTATTCAGGAACTTGTGAGAAATTCTGCCTTGCCTGAGTACTCAGAGAGGCTCTGAAAAAAAGGTCTCGTTTTTGAGATCATAGCTTGCTTTGTGTAAAATCCTACTTATTTTGTGGATTAGTCACCCAGGTAACCTAATCTATATGCTGA